TCTTCTCAAAGCCATGAAATAAGAGGACCAACAGAGACCAAGATCAGCATGACGCAAACCCAGTACACATTTGCCAATTTTATCCACTGCCCTGGCTTGCAAGAGCACTTTGGACACAACCTCTTCCCCCCTGACACAGCCATCATATTTTTGTTCCACAGGAAAGTAATACTTGCCTCAAAACAAGAAAACAGTTCTCTCGCTTAAATAGTTCTTAAATATCAAAATGAAGAAAATCTACTAGAAATGTTTGTTTTGAAACATGCAAATTACATGAAGTTTCTTCACCACAAAGCCAAGCAAGAGGATATAAAGATACTGAAAATGCTAGTTCACACAAAAAAAAATCTGATCCTGTAATCTACGTGTTGACAAGCTGTTGGGATCCATCACTCCACCAAGCAGTAGATACTTGTCTTTGATTCTTCTACTTGACTGCTTTCATCAGATTAAGAATCTGGGATTTAATTCAACAGTTTCAGCTTTATTAAGCTGTCACAAGAGCAGCCCTGCTTTAATAACAGTAGCTGCTCCAATTATGGCTTGGTTTAGGGTTGACAAGTATAATGATTCATTCATGGCACATGAGAAGCAGTAAAAGGTTGTTTAGCATTACAGCTTTAAAAATGTGGGCACTTTTTTCATTTAATTTGTCACCTAGCTTTTGCTAAGAGGACATTTAAATTGCAGTAAAAGGCAAATGGAGCTTTTAGTTTAAATGTAATCCCCATATTTAAATGATCTGTAATGACGCACTGTTCGAATGGGAACACTATTGTTTCACAGTGGGCCCTGATGGTGACATGTGACATTTGTATTCAGGTCCTGCATTATCCATGTGGCTAAAGGATTTCAAATTTCATTTCACAGCCAGCAGCGTGCAGAAAACACCAATTAACTTGCAGATCCCATTTGCCGACAAAACTCAGACTCTTCTCCATGTCTGGCATCTGGCAGTGCTCAACATTTAATTCCAAAGCAGAGCCTCACAGCCATCATGATCCCTGGGCTGGGGCACAAAGTAAAATTTTCCCCTTTCTTTAAGGAAGTCTTTTCACTTTTGTAGAGAACAAGCAACTTTTACTTAATTTTTTGATGGATGAATATGAAGGATTTACTGCCATAGTAAGATTGCATGGTCTATTTTTTCATCCTAGACTACAAAGGTTAACTGATCCTTTCTTCAAATCAGAGATCTCAGCTCAACAGGTATCAGCAGTACAAATGCATGCTGTGCATTTCCATATTCCTCCATTTTACCACTGCAATTTAATTAAAAAGGTAAACCAAGAGGCTTCAGGTAATTAATAATTCTGATATAGTGAAGTCTTCAACTACAGTCACCAATAGTTAAACATCTAAAAATCAGCATGTGAGATTTACCTACTGAGACACCATTTAAACAGCACAATGTGAGGAATTCTAACTCCACTCTAAACTCTGGAAAGCATATTAACGTATTACTGTGGCAAGTTGGAAGTGTTCACCAGTGCATCACTGAAGATGCATCTAAATTATTCTAGTATGAGAAGTACATGAGCAAGCCTTATAGCTTTGACCTGCAATCTTTATCTTTCCAGTACTACACTTTTACAGTTCCATAGCATTTAGCTCAACCCATTCTTTGATGTACAATAGGGGAATCTACTAAGTGTAATTATTATATGCTTCCTCCTGATCCAAAGGTTTTTTTTAAAAGTGGCTAGTTATGTGTAACTTTTTGTTAACTTGAGGCTTTTGAATTGTAAAGTGCTCACAGAATTAGGACTTTGTATTAGAAAATTACCAGGTTCCTATTTAGATGTGAAGTACTGGTAGGTTTTTGGTGGTGGGGTTTGTTGGTTTCCTTTAGATCAGCACCTGCAAACACTGAAACCCAATCTGATCTCTACTGAAGTCAACAATTTACTGTATTTTTTTCAGGAACTCTGATCAGAGCCCAGCGTGTCCTTCCAGTACCCTTGCAAATGCCCAATGCCAGGCAGGAAGCATCAGTTAAGTTCTAATGAAAGGCTCAAATGACCCAGTCAAGGAGCAAAGCTGAAGTTATTTAAGTATGCTTAAAAACCTATGCCAAGATGGAACTGACGAAGTGACCATATGCCTAGCAGTTGGCAGACAGCATACCAGGACAAGCAAACAAGCCTTTATTAAGCAGTCTGTATTTACATACTTTATGTCCTAAAATTCTCCGTAACTACAATGTTAAATTACTAGCTACCTGTGAAATACATCAGATCATAGATATAACATTTTTTAAAAGACATACATATATGCCACTTCCAGATAACTCTGAACAGGTAATACAAAAAGTTAAGTATACAGAGTCCTGTCTCATTCCCTTTACTGATATTTTAGTTCTCTGAAATCCTAGAAGATGACAAGACAGGAAGCCAACATTATTTTAAAACATAATAACATCACCCCCTTAAACACAACGTCCGAGTTCTCTGCCACTACTGGCACAGCCAAGGACACCCTGCTCTTCCTTCTGCAGCTTGTTATTGTAACTCTAGTCTCTCTTAAGATGTCCTTCAAATTTGGCACATTCACATTTTTTTGAGAGGTGTATGTTTCACCTGGACTGTGTTTAATCTGAGTGAAACTCAAGGTAAAATCCTAGCAAAAATCTGGCATCAGCTTGTAACTTTCACACAACACAGGAGTTAAGCAGGAGAGATTAATCCAATTAACAGCAATTTTGAGGGTAATTGGTAAGCACCAGTGGAATGAATCTTAGTGTGGGGAAAAAATGGACAATTTAGCAACTTAACTTGATTCTTCCACCTCCAGCTTGTGTTTAAGTTCTATTCTTAGCCTACTGCACACCCGAAGTAATTGAAATGTGTTTGCAATTGAAATCATGGTACACAATCAACGTATTCTGATACTATTACAGGTCGCAGAGTAGTTAAGGACTGAAACAACAGGGTCTGCTTCAGATTGCAAATACATCAGCTGAGATGATTTGGTGAGTCTGGAAGTTGCACCGTGCCTTTCTGGGAGTGGCACCTATAATTCTGATTAAACAAAGGTAAACTAATCAATTCAATTAATCTAAAATTATTCAGTGATGTAGGCAGAGATTCCACCTCCTCTTCCTTCAGGTAGGTACTGTCAAGAAAATGACCTTAATATGAAACTGATGAAACAAGAAGAGAAGCTGTTAAGAAAATTTAACAAAACCTGATATATTTATTGGCAGCATGTGGTAAGACTGTTACAGGTAACAGATGGAGAACACATTTCTGCCTCTCCCACCACCTACCAGCTCAACCCACATAAGCAATGAAGCATGAGACCTTCCAGTTTTCAGTACGATGAGATACACTTTTGCTGTGTTCGTGTCCAGCTAAGCATGTGCCCTGCTTAGCAAAAACTGTTGTTCCCCAACAAGCCAAGACATCACAAAAATGACATACTAAAAGGATTGGTACACTTGAAGACAAAGTAGTTATAACTACACTGACAGAGCTCTGTCTGCTCTGATATTAAGGCTTTTCACCACAGTAGTGCTTTATTAGCCTAATGCTTCATTCACAGTGCACATAATTTATGCTAAACAGGTTATATCCAGTCTTAGCTCCACCAGTCAACACGCAATCAATCATGGTCATCTTTAACTTTTAACAGTGGAAAACTGAAGTTTTGCTTCTGATGTTTCCTTTCTAATTGAAGCATGTTAATCTTGCTTGCATTTAATTTAGTTTGGCTTGATTTGTACCTTTCAAATGTATCAAGAACATTACAACCTTTGGCTCCCTGCAGTGTTTACATAATGTCACATATGTCACAATCACCTGTAAGAGTATTTTTGTTTGTTTCTTACTTAAGATTTATTTATTTCTATGTTCTATGCCACATAAGTGAGGTATAGCAATTTGACCAGAACACATTTCAAGACAGACTCCTTTCAGTCTAGTCTTGAAGTGTCTTTCTAGATTGAGTAACAGCACAGGTAACTACTCCAGGTTCCATGAATTACAGGGCAATTCCATTTAGGCTGTGAGTCTTCATCTTACATTGAGAAAGCCTCCAAGACAGCATGCAAAACCTTACTACAGCTAAGGTATACACAGTAATCCCTTCACTCATACACTCAGTGAATCACCTTTTAGAGAAACAAATTAGATTTACCACTGTATTTTAAATAATTCAGGTTGTCTTTTATCATTTTTATCTTCTACACACTTACATACCAACCGATTAGCAGTTGGAAAGCAAAGTTTGTGGTTACTTAATATTCCTTCCACTCATGTACCTACCTTTAAAATACTGGTGACATTTACATTCAAATTGTTTTGAATTTCCCTGCTCTAACACAAATTCCTATAGATTTTGAGAAGTCCTGAGGCAGCAGTTCAAAACTACATCAGCAAGTCTCTGGAACACTTCAGAGCAAGTGTCCTCAGACGTAACCAGTTGAAAAATTCCTTTCCCATTTCAGCCTGTGTTCTTCTCTCCATTGTATGACTAAGTCATGTATCTGGTCACAACTGACCTTTCCTGTAAAGCAGTGTTAATTGTTTTAGCCCTCTGTTATTTGATCTCCTTTCCTGCTCTACCGGACTTCTAGTCTCCTTTGTTGCTGTCTTCTCAGACTTTTAATGAATATTCTCTTTTTGCCTTTTATTTCTCTCTAGTTGTGAATCGATTTCTTCCTTAACCTTTCCAGTTTAGCACTAGTGGCTTATATACTTAACCTCAGTTGTATGTTACCACTCTTCACTTAATTCTCTATAGATCCTCAGGTACCTACAACCTGTTGCAATTGTATTTGTTTCATACCACCCTTTCTCTCTCTCCAACTGCAACTGTCTCATGCTGTAGATCAGCAATTCAATTTCACCCAGCCTTAACTGAAGAAGCAAAACCACAGAAAACTCTAACCTGCTTTACCTAGTACCACAATAAAGCTTCCCTCCACCCCAAATACGTAATTGTCTTTTCATCATTATATGTACGAACACCTAATTTTTTTTCAGAGTCTGTGCATTTACCTAGTTCATCCCAGAGCTGCCTATACTTGTCAGTCATTGATGTTCCTTGTTGTCTCCAAAGCGACAGACGAGGGTCAGCCATGAACTGTTCTGTTATCAATGTCAACATGCGAGCTCCATTTGAATCTCTCATCTTTAGCATCTCTCGCACCTAGGAAACAAGTCTTTTAATATAAACTTGACATAACAAAGAAATCACACTATAGACAATATGCTGCAGTGTTAAACATTCCAACTCTGTTAAATAAAAATTGTATTTTATGTATCTGATGTGAAATTTTTAAGTAGAAAAAACAGTCTGATTTCCCAATTTTAACAATTTTTGTTTCAGTATCCCATTGAAATTCCTCAAAGACACTTCTTCCATAAGTAATCCGCAGGTGTACTATGCAAACTGCTGCAAGACTATAATTTCTAGATTTCTCCAGCATTTTGGGAGTGGGAAGGAAGAGAACAGCAAAGCTGCAGACAGTTGAAATGTTACTTCATACCCTCAAACTGATCTGAAGATACATCAGATTGTGGTCCACTACCATACAACTCATTATTAAGTTGCCATCATGCTCCAAAGGCTTTGTCTAGTTTTAGAACAACAGGATTTTGAGTAAGACTTGAACAAGTACAGACTGGCTTGGGGAATGGGGGAGAGAAAAAAAGGGAATGTTTAGAGTACTCAACACACCTTTGCAAAGAGCAAATTGAGCTGCTTCCCTGATCCATGGTATCCACCTTGGGAGAGGAAGAGTTTAACCTGTTCTTGGACCTGTTCCTCATCCAAATGCCAGCAGTTTTCATCATCTATGCTAGCACCTGCTGTTGGGTCAGGAGCACCTGCAAAGAGCAAAAAAAGACATCACTAGGCACTACATAAGGAAGAGAGGTTCATGAGTCTAGGGGAGAGGAGTACTGCAGAGGTTTCTGGATTTGTGTTTTACCCTGTTTTGAATGTCCTGGCTTTAAACTAAACATTCTTCAAAGTAGACCTCAGTTTCTCCACAGTGGTCTTAAGGGCCTCAAAATAACAGTCTATCGAAAGGTATTTGAATAAAAAGTATTTTATAGTAAAACTTTAAAATCAAGGTGAGTTCTTTCCTCTCATCTCGGCAGCTATACTAGAGTGTTTTTACAAGGAAAATTAAGACTTTGCCTAGTACTTCTACAAGTGTGATGTTAAAAACATCCATGTAATTCCTGTACCTCCAGTAGTCTTGGTCAGGTTTAGAAGACTGCTAGTGAGCACTGCTACTGATGAATGTGATGAAAGCCACCACCTCAGTGACCTTGAGCTGTGACGGCTCTGCAAAGCTAAACAGAGTAAAAAAAAGAAAGATCCCCAACAGACCCAAAGTCTTAAAGCACTAAAGGCATTTCCATTATAAATAAGAGAGCTGTGTAAGACTGTGGTGCTTCCAAATGAACATTTTTCATAGGCAACATCATCAGCACAAAGTCAATTCAGATCAACTCTATCTGAATCCACCTGGTGTGGACTGAAGTGACTAGATTTACATCAGGCAGTGCTTCGGCTACTGGCTGCTCTAACTCGATTTTGACAGTTGAGATCAGTGACCTTTTACTGGTGCCTGACAAAATTAACTAAAACAAGTTCTTGCACCATCTAGCAAACTGTACTTTTCTGAAGAAGCCTGTACCTCCACTGGATATTTTTAAAAAGGTTTTCAAACTGAAAAGCACCTATCTAGACTGTCAGGGAAACAACTCAAGATAGTGCATCACCATACCAGATGTAAGGTATTTCAAGCATGCCCAAGTTAACATGACTCAAATTAACATGACATTTTGATTTTGGGCTTGTCGACTGTGTAACCTCTTATCTCCATTAGGTTTTGAAAATATGTTAGAAATTGAATCACTTTACACAACTTTTAAATCTGAATCCATGTTCCCTCTGTAGCAAAAAAAAGGGATGGCGGCAGGAAAAGAAAATTACATAGTCAGATTTGTAAAAGAACTTTCAGAGAAGACATCAGAACTTGAAAAGCAAAGATATCTAAAACTCTTCAGATGTATAGGCATTAAACATTGTATTGATTCAAGCTTTAATTTCACAATTGCAGCTCTGCCATACAGGTGAAGCTTTTAAGCAGTTGCAGGTAATGCTGGAATCTTTATTCAATTAAAATACAACCAGAAGATTTAAAGGGTCAGAGGATGCCCTGCCTACTAGTTGCTGATAAAGTAAAAAAAAAATCCTCCAGCTCAGCAACTTTCTAAACTGCCTTCAACTTCAGAGCCTACAGCTGGGAACGCTGTACTGCTGCACATACATACACATACAAACATGTATTTAGATTAATTCTTATTGTGTCTTTGAAGACATGAACTCTCCTGACTTCTACAGGAACAATAACAGCGTCTCGAAAGACAGGCATCAAGCTAGACACTACAAAAAAAAAAAGGAATAAAAACCCTCTTCTTCTGTGAGTGCTTCCATGTTAGTTTTAAGGAGCTTTCATTTCAGTCAGTTACGTGAAACATATACTGGTAAGTCTTCAGTTGCAAAGAATGAGGTAAAAAGGGAAATCAAGCCACATGAGAAGAAGCAGTACAGCTGTTGAACAGAACCAAGTTTGCAGTATCACCTTGCAAATAGTTTAAATATTTCATTGCTCTAAAACACAGAAAAAGACCTGTGAAAAAGAACTATATAAAAGCACCAGTATACAAAATACACTTATATTTATATCTCTCACTTCAGTGGAGATTTATCTTTAAATAATCTTGGTATGGCTACTTTTAAACTGTATTAAAAATAGCCCAAGGTTCCTCAGCTAAGCTTCCCTATTTAAGGAAAAAAAACCCCAAAATTCCTTCTGTAACTGTTTACATTCTATCAAAAGCTCATCCATCAGCTTGTGCTAGGAGGTTAAATTTCAACACAGCTACTGCAGATTCTTTAACAGGGTTCCTTTACACGAACAGGGGAGCTTGCTGCCCCAGGCCAACACCACTGCCCCCACCAAGGCCTCTTCTCCCAACATGATCCCAGGGGCTCAGCATCACTATACTTACACCAGCATTACTTTCATGCCAGTAGGCTGGAAGACTGTAAAAGCTGAAGACACCCTGACAAGGATCCAATCTCTACAATGCTGCTCAGCACAGCACTAGAGATATATCTGACACAGAGCAATTGTTCTTTGCAAGATCTTCTATAGGCTACTCTCTTTATGATCAAAGTTTTTAATTGGGATGTATAAAGAAGTTTCAGTATACATGTAACTGACACCAGCTATAGCTGTACTTCACTGATCTTTCAACACTGTTGGCAGACTTCGGCAATAGCCATGGACTAACAAGGCATGGAGATGGCATGCCTGATCAGGCATGAGTCCAAATCACCTTTCCATCACAGCAGCAGTCAGGCACCCTAGTGGTGCTGCTGGGGAAGTCTCAGCTTCCAACTGCCCAAATCACTCTTGTTTTGAGGCTGAGACATGACCATCCCCATGCCTCTCAACCAAGCACTTTTCAAGATCACTACGTTCACTTAGAGTCAGGTGAACACTGATTGATCTAGCCTCTTTTCTCTCCCACTCAAATACAGATCACTCTTGGGCAACGGACAGGACTTCTACACTGCCACTTTTCTTCTGAAGACATGGGATTGGGTGAGTAGACAAGAAACTATGTGAAGAAGCAACAGAAGGGAGCTGCCATAGGAGCTGCGACATAAAGCCCTAGCAATAGCCAGCAGGAAGGCTCATGCTCAACACCAGGTAGAGCTGAAGGTTCAACCCAAAGGTGGTAGCTTCACTTGGGGTGCAGCATGCCCCCAGAATGAACATTGTTACGGCCCAGAACTGAATCGTTAGCCTAGGGCAGTGGGGCAGATGGGCAGTTTTGCTGTAGAGAGGAACACTGGCAGCCCTGAATTTAACCTCTGCAGTGCAGTTTGGTACCAACCAAATCTCACTCCCCTCATTTAAACTGGGAATAATTATTACTTACATGCTTTAGAAGGATGTCATGAGGATAAATTAGTTCACATTTGAACTATGAAAGTGAAAAGCACTGCATAATTACAGTAAATATTAAAACCTGTAATTAAACTGCCTCAGTTCATAGACATTAACATATTAATCTCCCTCCCTCCAACCTCTGGCATTTTTAAACTTTTGTTGTGAATGGTCTTTGAAATAGGTTTTACATCATGTACTTACAGTTAAATACAACAAATAAAGTATTTATACCCAGTATATAGATACAGCCATACATACTTACTCATGCTCTTTTACTAAAATGACTAAATTGTAATCTCAGCAATCAAAGCAGGAATAGTGTGCATTACTGTTTTTAATACTGAACACCCAAATAAAATTTGACAGGGTAACAGCCTTTTATGTGTATGGTCACATAGGTTATATGTTAAATAAGAAGCAGAGCCATTTAAAAAAATAAACACTTCCACCATTTACATGGCAATTTTAAGAGCAACCACCTTTAAAATGAGCAACCACAGTCACACTGGTGTTGTATATGGAGAACTTAACCTTGAAAGATAAGTAGAACAAAAGCAAGGAGCATTGACTAAAACAGGCTAAAAACTGCATATATTGCAAAGTACTCAGGTGCAGATCAATAGTGAAATTTGGTTAAAGCAACAGAAAGCAATCTTTAAGTCAAACTGCTTCCCCAATCCTTATTTCCAAAATATCACAGGAATTGTTTTAATCTTCAAGTGGAACCATGCCAAATTATTCACTCATAGCTATACTGAAACTTTTTTGAACTTCATTTTATAAGTCTTATTAATTGAAGTATATAAATGAACTATAGATCAGTTAAATTTTATTAAATGCCATCTCATGGCAGCATTAAGGAAAAAAAAGTTTGAAAAAAATTATTACAAATAAAAAGTATGACTTAGTGAGTACTATGCAAAGACTGAATGGTCCCAGCTAGAAACCAATACTGCTGTATGTTGATTCACAACAGAATAGTAATTTATTTTATAAACTTAGTGTGCTCAGAATTATTCTAAACCATAATTACATAAAACCAAAGACCATAAAATTAATGATTCAAAAATATTATTATGCCCTTGATTCCCAAATGATTCAAAGTTTAGACATAAATCACTTCATCTTGTACTTAATTTCTGAACTCTTGGGTGGAATATAACACCTGCTCTGCAGCACTTAGCATCACATGGCATAAAAAAAAAATAGCAACTGCTGTGAAACAGCCAGTGCTAACACCAGAAAATATAAAGACAGGACAGGCTATGCTAAGTTGTTTAGGAAAGTTAATAAAGCCCCAACAAGATTTTAACTTCAAATAATTCTTTGCCTTCCATCTGCACAAACAGCAAAATGTGTAAACTCACCTGCTGACAATTACCTAACCCCTCCTGCTAAAATCTAAGTTTCACAAACATTGCATAGCAATAAGTTTCAAAGTCTACTTGTGTATAGTAGCTAGAAGAACTTCCTTACCAGTACAGACTAGCATGTATTATTATAATTTATTTTTATGTTCCACATCTCAAAATAAAAACTTGATATTTTCTATATAACTAGTTTTCTTTTAATGTTCAATGTATCTGAAAAAAACTTTACTAAAATATGATTTTCAACTTATTTATCATGTTATTTTGCAGCTATCAAATCTTTCATTTTATTTTATATTGTACTACTTACTTCTACTTGGGTTTCTGAAATTTCTCTAGTGTTGGCTAGTCTTCTTGTTACTTCCTTCCCAAATCTGGTTCACTAAACAGTTCTTATACTAAGCACTGGAGCACTTCACTTTCATCCTTCTTGAAAGGAAATTCACCTGCCATTTCCTACATTCTTCTTTTGCAACAA